ACGCAGGCGCGGATTACCCAGGGTGTGAATCACAGAGGACCACTCGAAGAACTATAATTACAGGTGAGTAACCTGTCGTTAGTTCACATTAAAATATAGTTTTAAACCACCTTGACTGACCAGGTAGTTACACTTGGTGCATCTCTTCTCTGGCACAGACAAATTTGGCTGTGTAGCTCATAAGAAAGGGGAGGTTGAAAGAAAAGAAACTGTGGCAGCTCTAATTCATCACCATAAAGGTGGCTGAAGACACACAAGAGCAGCCTTGAATGCCAGAGGGCCTCTATGCAGAGAGGGAAATCTTTCTGCTTCACTTTCTCTGACTATGGCAGATAGTGTAGTTTGGTGCACTCCAGCAAATGCCTCTGTTGACTTCTCAACTTGCAGCAATTTGCTGCAGAAATTCATGTGTATTGAGTTATGTCAGTTGATGTAACTAATAGGATTCTGGGCCATGTGTTCTTTATCTCGTGTTTATGAAGAAGTTTGCTAAAGTTGGTAAATTCTTCACCAAAAAGCAGTTGTGTAACGTTCTCACCCATCCCGTTATTTACAGCTATACACTATTCTTGCTGTTCTTTAATGTAGGAGTGGGGTTACTGTGACCCTCAAACTGCTGTTTGACTCTAACTTCCGGTGGCTCTACCCCCTCCCATGCAGATTGAAAGGGATGATGGAAGTTGTAGTTCAATAACATCTATTTCATGTTTCCTGTGGTTCAAGTAAAGAAGCCTTTCAGAGCTTAAGAACTAAACTCTACCCATTCTGAACAGTCTTACTTTGCTAGGAGCTATATACATGCATACTTACTATCACTAGCTTGCTGAAGAACAGCGCATAGGTAGAAACAAGTATTGTGTATGCTATTCCCTTTGCAAGTCCATGCAATGCTCAAATGATGGGGCAAAGGAGAGGAGGACTTCCAATGAAACCTCAAGCCCTGTTAAACACCTTCACTGAAATTTCGTGAATCGTAACTCCCCATGGTCATCTAAAACCATGGCTAATGGAAGCGCCAAGAAAGTTAGGTTTTACAGCAATTGATAAAACTGTTCAATTTGTTTGGAGGATTCTCTGGTTCAGGGGACATGGAGTCTCCACATAGTCAAGAATGGCCAGGTGTCAGCTTTGCAGGACCTATTTTGTTGTATATTAGAACTGGAAGGTCTAATATCTGTACAGCTTGGGGATGGGAGAATTAAGATACACTGTGCATGTGTTCAACATCGATACAGGACTGAAAATTGTTTCACAAAAAATCCACTCCTTGTTTTTCCTCCAAAACATTATTCCAACTCAAGGGATCCAATTTAGAAGGCATGAGAAAAGGAAAGCCTTCTGCTGATGGATCTTAGCAAACAAGCATGATCTGCGGTGTTGATCTAGTGCAAACCAGCCATAGATCTTGCAGTAGATCCTCATCTACATTCTGTCCACCCATTCTTGATGGCAACTGGTGTCCTTGAAATATAGCAAAAGATTTTGATTCACAGGAGAGTGCAACTAACTGAAACAGATGCCTGCTGGTGAGACAGGCGGGCATGCAGCCAGTTAGCTATAAAGAGATCCTGGCTGGGGAGAGAACATGGATGAATCTGCAGAGAAAGCAACAAGGTGCTGGATACCCATATTGCTGTCTTCCACCAGGCACATAGTGCCAGAGAGACAGAATGGAAAGATTCATATAAGAAATGCATAGATGTCCCTTAACTAGAAGGAAAGGTGCCAAATCATACCTCTCCTGTAGCATGTTAAGTTAGCAGTTAATCAGACCATTGCAGTAGTTTAGATCCAGGGCCCGTGCAGTCCCTAATTAAGTTACTTCCCAGGTGATTTGAATACTGGGCACCTTAATCTTCATGTTCTACAGCAGGGCATTTTAATCCCCAGATGCATTTCTGTCTTGAAGAATATACCAAAAGCAGGCCTACAGTATAAGACATTGTACAGCATTGTCACATGGATGGCAGTAAACTGTTTCTCCATAGTTCAGCCACTTGCCCTTTGTCACTGGCTGGATAGCTCAGCGGCTTAGGTATCTAGCGGCAGAGCCAGAGGTTGGAACTCTAGTTCCTCACTGTGCTTCCTATGAGTATAGCCAGCCTGTGTGGCTTTGGGCAAGCTGCACAGTCCCAGGACAAAGGGACTGGTAAACTACATCTGAGTACAGTAGAACCATAGAATCCATGGAGATAAATTCAAAGGCCCTGCAGAAGCCAAAAACTGCAGATATGCAAACCCTAAACATGACAATCTCTATGTCAAAGAATTAATGGACACAAATCAGACAATGGCAACACAAAGAAATCCATTTCACATCATTTTAATTTACCAGGACATTCTACACACAATCTAAAAGTGCCCATTGTGGGGGGAAAGAAACTACTGTACAGGACGAGACTCCGGAGAGAGAGAGAGATAGCATAGTCTCTGGTTCCCTCTAGTAGGCAAATCCAGTAATACATCTGAAAGCTGAATATTTCTATCTGTGTGTGTGTAATTTAATATTTTCAGGCAGTTGATAACCAAAACCGCTGGTACTATTCCTGCAGCTACAGTGACCCTACTGTCCTCTCTATCTGGAAAACCCTGAAAAGGGTTGTGTAAATCAGAATTGACTTGACAGCACATGGGCGGCATACTGTAGCTCCTCTTCCACATAAAACATCTGATAAGCAGAGCTTTAGTTTCTTTCAAAACAGGTTGGCTTATGCAGCCCATTGCTTTGCATGCATTTGGTTGGACATGGACATAGGATGATCAGTTCTCCCTTTGAAGGGTTACCAGAGGACAGTCCTCCTTTTAGTCATTTATAATGGTGCCTTCTGTTTGAAAAGCTCTCTCATTTTTTAAAAAATACACAAACATGAGAACATAGATCAGGGACTCCTTGAAGTTGTCCAATCATAGTGAACACCTAAACAGCAGACTCAGTAGGCACACAAGTCGCCTGGTGACACTCTTCCCCACTTGGTTGACTTGTGTTGCAGTTCTGTTTGATTTACAGAAATAATGTCCATATAAATGAGCACATGCTGCTTATGCAAATTTTTAACCTCTTTTGTGCTCTTTTGGAAATGTGTGAGTGGCTATCCTTATTCTGTCTGATTTTATTCACTGGCATTTTGCTAGTTGGTTTTACCATGACTACAATCTTCACCCCTCTTGGTTGCCATATACATTGCTTTTCCATACGGTTTTTTTTCCTCCTACAAAGTGCAGGATAATTATTTTACAGGACTTTTCTGGATCATTAACTTTACAACTCATCTGAGGCCTCTTGATGGGAAAAGGGATAACCCTTTGTTCCTATGTGTTTTCCTTCTCTTCCTGCCCTGAAGTGAGATTTTGGTCTTTAATGGGTCTGGTGTCCCATCTCCTTCATAAATCTTTTGTCAATGAGTGTGAACCACTTCCTGAATTGTCCCGAAGGGAAACAGAGGGCTTGATGAGAGTTAGAGGACAGATTGCTTGAGCATAGAGAGGGAACATTTCTTCTATGGCAAACTGCAGAGGCAAAAGCAGAGTTTACTTGTTGTATAGCCATTTATAATGTTGATTTGGCAAGCTTAAAGCAAAGCAAAATACAAGGTTGTGCTTTCCTCGAGAAATCTGTGTGTCAGCGGTTTCAGTCACAATGGCATGGATAGCTGACACAACCTTACTCTTTACAGCAATGTATTTTTTCAGGATTTTAAGATATCTAACATAAAATGGATTTTCTAGTAGATCTGGGGCAGAAATAACTCCAGGGAGGATTACCTTCACAATCCATTTACTCTGCTTCTCTTATTCCCTGATGCCATTCTGTCCTTGATGAACTAACAAGGCATCTTTCTTACAGTTTTATCTATGTAAGTAAGTCCCATGGAGTACATGTGCATAGGGCTGTGGTCATATTAATTACAATAAGGAATGAGAGGATACTGCCAAGAATGGTTTTCTGTATGTTGAGTTTTCCTCCTTCATCCCTTTCCGGTAATGAATCGGAAAACCGCCCAGAGTAGACCATGTCTAGATGGGCGGCATATATATGCAATAAAAAAATAATAATAAATAAACCCACCAGCATATTTTGTTCTGAGCAGGGGTTCCAGGCCTCACACCACCATGTCAGAATGTGTCACCACTACTGGAGGAATAGGTACCCATATTGTGGCATATACCTATAACCTTATCAGTAGCAACCAATGAGATCACAAAAGGGAAAACAAATGATGTGATGACATCATAAGACAAACATTTCTCCATATTTTAGACGAAGAGAACTGGGTTTGATGGGCCATATCCCCTTGCTGCAAGTAACATGTCTTTCTAACTTTAAAAAAAAAGCAGAGGGAACTGGTACATTCATTGGTGGCAAAAGTACAAATGGGAGACTGAATCTCAAGCTGTATAAAAATATTAGCAATGCAGATTTTATTCTTATCTAAAAAGCTCAGGCCCGATGAGTTTTGGCTGTGGCCTTCTTCAGGAGCAAGTTTTTAGACTTTTGCTTCCCACTTGGTCTATAGGAGCTCCAACATTGACCCAAAATGTCTTGACACTAGAAGCAAAAGTTGTACATCTTGAGACTCAGTCTCCCATCTGTTTTCTGACTTCAGAACATGGGATATAGGCCTGTCATCTTTGCTGATTGTTTCAATTAAAATGAAATACAGTAAGTTAGGGTGACAATAACATCGTTCTCTAAAAAGCAACAGCTGAGCTATCAAGTTCACGTTTTCACATGCTGTACCGGTTAAGTCTTTCCTTCCTTGTGTCTTAGGAATGAGCACACATGGGTTGTGGCAAAGGTTTTCACCCCAAGAAAGGAAATGCAGAAACTGCACGAAGAACTGATACCATGGAGGTGGAGGAGATGGGGGAGGGGAAGACACGAAGCAAAATAATTATTCTGTTTCTCTAACTAGTTTTATAGCCTGGAAATCTCTGAGAACCATCTCATGCAGAATTAATTTAATAGAACATGTTTATGTGTTTGTTTTTCTCCTCTCCAGGTGGCTTCATCAGTTTTAATGGCTCCTGGCGTGTTCAAGGGATCCTTGCTATGTCCCGTTCTCTTGGAGATTATCCACTGAAAAATCTGAATGTTGTCATCCCTGACCCAGACATCTTAACCTTTGACCTGGATAAACTTCAGCCAGAGTTCATGATCTTAGCATCCGATGGTCTGTGGGATGCTTTCAGCAACGAGGAGGCTGTACGGTTCATCAAAGAACGCTTGGACGAGCCACACTTTGGAGCCAAGAGTATAGTCCTGCAGTCTTTTTACAGAGGATGCCCTGATAACATAACAGTCATGGTGGTGAAATTCAAGAGTGGCAGCAAAACGGAAGACCAGTGAAAATCTCTAAAGTCTCACTGCCTTTCTCTTGGCAAACTCCTTCATTAGATCTTTACACTTCAACACAGTAGACAGCTGTAGCAAATATATTAGAGTTAAAACTGTACATCCAACAAAAAGAAAACGAGGAAGATCACTCTTTTGATAGAGCTACACCGAAAACACTCTCGAAACCACCGCCACCCCATGTCAGCTCTTCGAGGGTTTAAGCTTAGAAAATTCTTCCATTTTAAAGCTAATGACTCCTGCTTTGGCTATTTGAATAGCTGCAATCTCCTAGCTTCACCCATGAGCTTAATGCTGTATTTGGACTGGCACGAGCCAAAGCTTGGCATTCACCAACGACTGATGGAAACAACATGGGCTTTTCACTGATGTAACAGTCTTCATACTGTTGTGTGCAGTCCTTAGGGCCACTGCTCTGTTTTTGTTCTTTTACCTGCAGAAGGCAGGTAGCAAACAGGTTTGTACATGCTGACCTGTCATTCCATAGGAGAATGACAAGGGGGGGAGCCATGCTACAGGCATCCTTCTGCTTCTCCCCGTGCCCCTTAGGTGAATATCCTTCCTGCCACCTGATTAGGGACAAGGTATTGAGCTTTTCTGGAGCTGTTTTGTCTATACTGTCTGTGTGCATGTCTTTAACAATGCTCTGCCTTTTTTATCCAACCAACAGATGGTGGGGGGGTGGGGGGTCCTTGCTCATTGAAAACTGCCCGTACATTGGCTCTTGCTTCTAGATATACTGAATTTCAGGGACTGTGCAAATTACATATGTCATATTTTCAGAGTCAGAGTGTAAAGCCTGTGGCGAAATCCATTGAGATTGTAGCACAGATGATTCCTATGTAAGACTGTGAGTTTTACTTTCCATTATTATCAGCATATATTCCAGTATGGGGAAGGAATGCTGAAAAATGGCTGTTTAGGAAATATTATTGGAACAGTGTTTTAACAGAAATGAAACTTAGTTCCTCTCCCTCACTCCCACCCCCAAAATTGACAAAGAAAAAAAATCATTCTGATGGCCTGGGTATTCAATGATGTAAATAATCAAAGGCTAGCCTTGAAAATGACAAGTGTTGATTGCATATATCTGTAATTTTGAGCCTATGAATATTGTATGCATTGATGTAGAAAATTGGCTTTTCCAATTCCAGGATTGATTGATCATATAGATGTGACCTGATTGCTTAATCCCCCACAGCGCTAATCATCTGATGATTTCATGGTCAACAATTGAGCAAGTGTTTTAATAGGACACCACAGGAGGCTGGGCATATTTTGGGTTTCTTAGAATTTCTCTTATCAGTTTGTGCAGCTTTTTTCATAGAATAAGGTGAGATGTTGTCTCTCTTCACCAAGATGTCTTTCACAGAAAGATAAAGACTCTGGAATGTCCATTAGGCCACTCAAAGTACATCTGAAAGCAAATGAACCCCTGGCTTCAATTAAAGAACAGCTTGGCAAAGTTATTTTTGAGACAACAACTCCAAGAATTATCCCATCAGAACAAGGGACTGAACGTACTAACTGGGGATTCAGAAGTTTCTTTTCTAAAAAATTGACTTTTTCCAAGATCTAAGTTAAAAGAATTAGACATGACCTTTGATGTGTGTGCAGATTTCCATGAGTATATTTCCATGAGTAGGAAAGAAAAGAGATGGGTGCTCACCTGTATAGTGTTGCTATCAAAGAGGAGGAAAAAAGAAGCTTATAGGTATGATGTGAAATGTGGGCTTAGGTTTCAAACAGAGCTTTATTCATGCAAGGGCTTCTCAAGCTCTTCTGGACAGAAGGAAGTTAGACAAAGGAATCATGAGCATATGTGTTCTATATGCTAGAAATAAATGAGAATGTCATCACATGTGAGCCTCCATTTAGACACTGAAAACTGGCCACTCACTTCTAATTAATACGCTTTGGTAAATGGGAATATTGTTGGGCTTTTGTACTTCAAAATGTACCCTTTGTTGTCTATATACACATTGGGACTCCCATACAAATAGCGCATATCCCTCAAGGCAGCAAAGGAGGATATTCTGCACTTTCCCTGAAACTTAAGTGTGGCCTGAAAATAGCACAGTGATGGATTAAGACATCCAAAACTTTTTTAAAATAGAAAAAGTTTGTGCAATCCACAAAAACAACACACATTCAAGAGCACGTGATACCTTTATCAAACCATTAAAAATCAAGCAAACTGGCTTTATTAGACAACTAAAAAAATCAAGCAAAGTAGCTTTGGATTATGATTCATCTTCTTCAGCCTGTGCACCAAAATCTTGTGAATAGTTTTGAAATCTTGAGTTGCAAACTAAGGCAATGGGGTGGAGGCGAAGTGGATGGAGATTACTTGGTGTATTCCTTTTTAGTTACTATTGCAGCATTCTGCTGTCTTATTTCTTTTCTTTGTCTACTCCCTCTGCTCAATTATGTGGTATGTCCTCCTTGTGGGCCTGGATACCTGTAGAGGGTGATGCTGGAAGCAGTTGCTTTAGGGTCATTGGCAGATTTCCCTTTGTAAATATTTGGTGATCTTGGACAAGATGCCCTTGGAAAATGTCTTGCTTTCGTAAGCCCACTGTCTTGCCCCATTTGCATGCCGTCTTCCTTCGGGATCATTCTACATCATAGAATCATAGAATAATGAAGTCGGAAGGCCATCAAGTCCAACCCCCTGTTCAATGCATGAATACAAATCAAAGGATATCTGTCAAGAAGTTGTCCAAACTTCTCTTGAATACCTCCAGTGCTGGAACACTCATCATCTCTCAAAGTAATTCCAAAATGGTTCCATTGCCCTACTGCTCTAACAGTTAGGAGGTTGTTCCTGATATTCAACAGAAATCTGACTTCCTGTAACTTGAGCCAATTTTGCGTATCCTGCACTCTGGGATGATCAAGAACAGATCTTGCCCCTCCACTGTATGACAGTCTTTTCACATATTTGAAAAGTGCTATCATATCACCCCTCAGTCTTCTTTTCTCAAGGCTAAACATGCCCAGTTCTTTCGTCCTTTCCTCATAAGGTTTGGTTTCCAGCCCCCTGATCATCCTTGTCACCCTCCTCTGAACTTGTTCCAATTTGTTAGCATCCTTCTTGAAGTGTGGTGTCCAGAACAAGACATAATACTCAAGATGGGGCCTAACCAGTTCTGAATAGAGGGGGACTAGCACCTCACAGGATTTGGAAACTATACAATTAATCCAGCCTAAAATAGCATTAGTCTTTTTTGTAACCACATCACACTGTTGGCTCATATTTAGCTTCTGATCTATGACAATTCCAAGATCCTTCTCACTCCTAGTTTTGCTGAGCCAGGTATTCCCCATCTTGTAACTGTGCAGTTGGTTTCTTTTTCCAAGGTGCAGCACTTTGCACTTATCCCTGTTGAATTGGATTCTGTTGCATTCAGCCAAATACCCCATCCTATCAAGGTCATTTTGAATTTTGTTTCTGTCCTCTAGGGCAGGGGTCCCCAACCCCTGGTCCATGGCCGAATACCGAGCCATGGACTGGGCCACGTAGATGGTTCTCCCGCCCTCCTCATGCACTCCCCCACACAGGTGCGCGTCCACCCAAACGCATGGGTGCCTGCCCACCTGCACATGTGCGCATGGAGGCCCCACCCATGTGCATGAGCATGCCCCAACCATAACTGTGCCCCGCCCACCCGTGTATGCATGAGCCTGCACCCCACCCACCCATGAGCACTCTGCTTTCCCACACATTTGCGAGTGTGTGCCCTGCCCATCTGTGAGCAAGCACTGGTCTGCCCTGCACACGGACCCCACACCCCCAACTGGTCCGCGGTTTGGAAAAGGTTGGGGACCACTGCTCTAGGGTATTACTGAATTGTTTTCTAGGTGCTTGCACAATCAGCGCTTTACGATCTGTTCCAGAATTTTGCCTGGGATTGATGTCAGGCTGACTGGCCTGTAGTTACCAGGTTCTTCTTCTTTTCCCTTTTTTGAAGATAGGGACAACATTAGTCCTCCTCTAATCCTCTGGCACCTCACTCATTTCTCATGATTTCAAGAAAATAATGGATAGCGGTTCTGAGAGTTCTTCAGCCAGTTCCTTCAATACTCTCCAGTGCAGTTTATCTGGCCCTGGGGATTTGAATTTGTTCAAGGTGGTAACATATTCCTTGACTATTTGTTTATCATTTTCCAGCTGCAATCCTGTTTGGAAGTTCATAGTCTGTCTTATGAGAAAAGACTGAACTTTTGATTTCCCTTTGTCACATATTTCCTTTTTTCCATTAATGACCCATGTGTCCATTGTGACAACTATGCTCCCTACCAATCTCCTGCTTCTTAGTGCACAGCAGTGGATGGTCCTCTCTTTTGGAGGGGGGGGGACCTTCAGAGATGGATATGTTTTGGCAGTACTATATTTGCATGTTACGTTCTCACCACTCTTGTCCAAAACTAACAGCGATCCAGATACGGGGCTGAGTGACATAGGCTTTCGTTTGCACGACATGCACTTCCTTTGTGTCTTTTCACATGTACAGCTGGTAAGGTAGGCGAAGAAGATTGATGGGTAGTAGTCCTTGTCCTTCTGTCTTCCCTGCAGTTTGGGGAAACCTCTGAGCAAGGAGCTTTTAAATCCTTTTCTATTTCATGTAACTTTTGTTTTCAGGTGGTTGTGTGGGGAGGGAGGATGACTAGTAGAGAGGAAGAAGCATGGGAGGAGATGGAAGTCAAGTAAGAATATTACTCCAGGAACTAATGGACTGTCATCACCACCACCCTCCCTCCCTCTCTCTCTCTCTCTCTCTCACACACACACACACACACACATTGTTGCACCTTTCTTCACTTCCTACAAAGACTGCTGTGGAAACTAATGATGGATGTGCAGACCATCAAGAATCCCATGCAGAAGCATGGTAAAAAGATAGTAAATTAAAAAATAGGAAAAATGAGATTAACCCACAGGTGAGTAGGTGGGGTATAATAAAAGTGAAAATAATGGGCAGGGTAAACAAAAGTAGTTCCCTTGTTGCAAACTGCTGTTCAGGGTAGCTCTTGGAAGTGGAAAAATTGAAGGCAACCAAATTTTCCTGGTAATCATGACTAACATATGATGTAGGTGAGATTTGGGCTGCAGCCCCGTACCTTTCTTTCGAGTAAACCCTGTTGAACTCAATTGGACTGACTTCTGAGTATTAGGATTATACTGTTTGTTCAGTGATAAAGGTTTTAAGAAGCAAACAGGCATCAAAGACCGAAAATAAAATGTATTCCCGTCCCCATCTTTACCCATCCCTAGAAAATTATACAGTACGATCTCTCTACCAACTTAAGAGTTATCAGGCTTCCCTTTAAAAAAGACCATGACACTATATTGCAGCCTATGACTAAGTAAGCAAAGGGAAATAGAATTTGATGTCACTGCAAAAAATAAGCAAACTATTACTTGCAAAAGGAATTTGCAGTGGTGTTTGTTAATGCACGTTCTGTTGAAAGTAGGCTTTTTTAATAACTAAGGAGAGGGAATTTCAATAACAGGAAAGAGGCTGCAAACAATTACTGAATACAGGTTATATTCAGCCAAGTGTTTACAGAGGCGTATTTGCCCAGCCAGGTAGATATAAAGGAACAAAAGGTTATGCACTGTACAAGAGTTCATTCTGAATTCATTAATAGCATAATTTATAGACATTTACAGTTATCATCTTGTAGGAAAGGGTTCTTAGTTAAGAAAGTAAAATCAACAAGAACAGAGTGTAGCTTAATGTAAAAAGCTTTGGGTGGGTGTGCATGAAATGTACTATGCATTTCACCCACTTCTGGTTTAACAAAAGGACAAAAAGTACATTAAAGTGCTTTGGACTTAGAGAAATACATAATATTTCTGTGGACTTCTACAAGCATGATAGAGGCATCTGAAGCTAATTTCTGCCTGATCGTTTCCAACGTTTCCCTGTTCAAATTAAGACTGTACAGAAACCATATTTTTAGCCAAAACCAAATGAATAGCTTTACTTTAATACTACTGGCTTGGATTCAGAGATATTTTGCACAGGTGGGCCAAGCACTTGGGCAGGGGTCGGTTGCCTTCTCAACCCCTATGGCTCCATCCCCACCCTACGGCTGCTTGAGATGATCTGTCAAGCCACAGGAACAGTTTCCAGGGGTCAAGGCGGCCACAGGGAACAAGTGAAGCCAAGAAAGCCCCACTGCTTGAGTTCTTTTGCAGTTTGAATCCAATCCACTGATTTCAGAGTGAATACCACCAGAAACGTAAGTGGTGCTTTTTGGCCAAACTTTGCAAATGCTAGCTTTACTGCTGTAGTCTATGCAACACATATCTAATACACATATAATATAAGGAATTCACTGTTGTGACTTAATGAGGTTTATCCCAGTCAGGTTCTAATTCTGCTTTAGCCTGATGCAGATATAAATACTTAATAATAGCTTTATTGTTTTAACCTTGATTATGTTTGAAAATGTGAAGTGAGTCCATGGCTTTGCTTACTGATCTGTGTCTAGAGAAACCAACTCAGTTTCTTGCCAACAGAAAAACTGGAGAGGCAAGATAAATGCCTTAACCATAGTAATAACTTAGTTTGTTGAGCACAGATACAACACTTAATCCTTTTACTTAATCATTATTATTGATGCAAACCATTGTTTGTAAACTCACTTCATATTGTGGTTTCATGTCCTAGTTTATTTATGGCTAGTCTTTAAACATGGTTAACAATTCAGATACAATGCTTGGTTTATAAATCCACTTCAACTAATAGTTTGAAATCTTGTTTTGTAATTAGTCCTTAGCTATGCATACTCTTAAAGAGGCAGTGTTTTAGCTTTATAGAAAAGGGCCTGGGAAAGTGTATCTTAGCAAAGTGGGCTACATTTTAAGTGTCTTTCAGATCAGTTTCATTTACTTAAAAAAGTGAGAGTAACTATATGAAGATAAACAGGAAATCTGTGTGAATGCTAGTATACTCTAATTTTGCTTTCATACTCCTTTGGGGTGGTGGGAAACATATATCTGGGTGAAATGGGTAAGATGGGTTATTCTTGCTAACTGCCATGAAAATGTTGAATTTATGCAGTAGATTTGCACAGGGTGCCATATAGGAAATTTTGTTAAAAGCAAATCTAGTTGCCATGCAGATATTGTGGATGTTCTTCATATAACGGAGGTCATCGGGGTCAGTATTTCCAGCTGTTTTTAGCAGGTCCTGTTGAAAATACATATATCTTTTGAGTCAAGGCCAACTGAATACATTTTGTTACTTGATTATAGGACAAAATGGTACCTTGCCTCCATTCTATGTACAGAAGCCAACTGGACTGGCAGTTTAATATTATTCAACATTGTCTGTTGTATAACCTTCTTTACTATAACCAAGGGCAACAGCTAAGTTTAAGGGGTAATGGAGGTGCTGTGACTCATGCTGCTTTGTCATCCAGGATAGGGGAATGAACAGTGGAGTGGGAGAAGATGACATGTGTATCTAGGTAAAATGGAGGACGCATACTGTAAGACAAATGTATAGTGATACACAACTCTAATTAAGGTGTAAATATACTTCCCGTTTGCCCTCTGCATAATTCATAGCATAATTCATACGATCATGGACAGGAACATGTCTGCGGCATACCCTACTGAAACCCAATTCTCTGAAACTACTAACTTTCTATTGACTACACTTCAAGAATAGAAACCATCAATTGTGTCCTACTCTGAAAAGAGCTAACCACAAATATGTGGTTGTGGGTGATTTTGAGAAAGTTTAAGGAATGTCTGTGTATGTGTTTTTTTTTCATGATACTCATTTGCTCTGGTGACATGAGAATTTCAGAGTGTTTTGTTCCCTTTAAGGGCAGATTTGTTCATTTGAA